CAGTGGAAGAACCTCTCCAGGTGTGGGAAGCCTCCCAGGGGAGCTGGGATGGGGTTTCCCCCCAGGAGCTTGGGTCACTGAGCGGTCACCTAGGAAGGTTATTTGCTGAATTAATGCGTGGCGCAGAACTGGATGTATCAGCAGAGGAAGGAAGAGAAGAGGAAAGGGTGGTTTAAGGAGTTTCCTCAGCATTTTTGAGAGCAGTCCAGGCCTGGCTACTCTGTCCCTTTAGGAAGGGCCTCTTCACTTTATTACAAGCAGGAATACATGCAATGCCTCCAGCTGGTTATCAGTAATCTCCTGAATAGTCATAGGTGCAGGGGGGATATTAAATTCTCAGCATTTTCTGGCAATATCACGAACTGACTTGAAGCTATGGTTTGTTTGGAAATGAGATTGGGCACGATCTACACTCTCCAGCAGTCTCCGTGCCAGGAAGGGGATCAGGCTACAGGTTTCTGAGGGTATTTCAATATGCTGAAGCATTCCTTTACCCTAATTCTTCAATGTGGGAGACCTAATTGAGTGATTTTTCTATCCTTATGCATTACTATCCTTGCAGGATAAGCTAACTAGAAAATTCAAACGAAACCTGATGAAACTCTACGGCATGAGGCAATATAAAATACACGGATAATGGGTTCAGTGTTAGGTCTTTTTCCAAAAGCTGAGGATCCTGAAGCTCTGCTGTTGGAGTAGGATGTTTCTGATTCATCTGTAACCTTTCCAGCAATGTGGGGATTTCTCTTGGGAATTCCCATCCACAGACTGTTGCCAGGGTTGCTAAAAATGCGTTCGGCATGTCCTGGGGTTAATTTATCCTTGGGGCCATCTCTACAAACAGAGCTCTGCTGTTTTAACAGCTTCTCTCTCCAACCAGAGCTACTGAGGGAGGAGGAGGAGGATAAAGTCACTTCTCCTCCTTTTTACTAATGTGTCTGTTTTACCATCAAAGCCCTTGGCCGTCCTTGGCCCCATGGGAGCAGGGGCTGTGCATTTGTATCGAAGCTCATCTTTCACTCCTCAGCTATCCTGCAGCAGGGTCTAAGAAGAATTATATTTTTAAAAACCAGAAGCTTTTGCAGGTAAAAATGCAAGTGACTGAATCAGGTTCTACCTGACCAAATTGTTTTTACTCAGATATTTAGAGTAATTTTCATCATGTTTAGCTCATGTTACACAGGAAGGAAACAAGGCTGCCATTTAAATACTAAGTTGATTCGAGAGATATAGAGGCATTTATCTTTTCAGAGGGCTAACCTAATAAAGATATTTTAAAGTACGCCATTTGAAGAGTTTGTTAGCTGATCATTTGCAATATAGTTTAATAAAGCCTTAATATACTGCTTCCAAAAGACAGAGTAAATACACTAAATAACAAACTTGCAGAAAACAAGTCTGATTTTTTTCTGCCCATGTTGTGCCTTTCATTATGTTCCAGAGTCTGTGCATGATCTGTTTCAGAGATAGCCAGATGTTAGTAATGGAACTAGAAAAAGAAAAAAAAAAATAGACCAAAAACTTTGGAGATTGGAGCCTCCAAAGGAATTTAGGAACTTTTAAATCCCATCTGACACTTGATCCAAACCCTGCTGAAGACAATAACGAGACTCCCATTTACTTCACTGAACTCTGGACTGAGTTCCCACTTTCTCCACAGAAATCTGTTCTTGTCACAGTGCAAAGCGAAAGGCTATTGAATATAGAGGATCTGAATTCACAATTGTCCTAGTTTTGGCTGGAACAGAGTTTATTTTCCTCCTATTAGCTGGTACAGTGCTGCGTTCTGGATTTAGTGTGAGAATAATGTTGATAACACGCTAATGGTTTAGTTGTTGCTAAGTAGCTCTTGTCCTAAGTCTAGAAACTTTCAGTTTCCCATGCTCTGTCAGCGAGCAGGTGCACAAGGAGCTGGGAGGGATCGTGGCCAGGACAGCCAAAGGGATTTTCCCTACCATGGAACAACATGCTCCCTGTAGAGACTGGGGAGAGGTGGCCAGGGAGGGGCAGATCGCTCCTCAGGCATCAGTCACCAGGGTGGTGAGCAATTGCATTGTGCATCACTTGTCTGTTCTTGGGTTTTATTTCTCTCTCTTTTTTTGTTGTCTGCCTTTTCGTTGCAATTATTGCTTTCATTATTATTATTATGATTACTTGTTTTGATTATTATTACTATTATCATACTTTATTTTAGTATTGTTATTGAACTGTTCTTATCTCAACCCACAAGTCTTAGTTGTGGAGGAGTGAGTGACTGTGTGGCTGGTTGGGGTTAATCCACAACAAAAGTGTTTTCTATCATCTTGATTAATTCAGAGATCATGTTTGGGTGTTTGCTAAGGATTATATCTAATGGGAGTGATGCTCAGACAATACATGTGGCTAAAGAGATGGAGCAGTACTCCACAGCTGAGCTTCTATTTCGTGAACACCAGAGTGAATTTTGCACAAGGAACCGGTTCAGTGGAGATGCTCAGTGGCAGCAATCCAAGTTGGCAGTAAGATTTATGCTTCTCCAGTGTGTGGCATTCAGCTTACGAGCAAATGGACAGAGATATCCACAAGTCGAAGCATGTCTGAACAGACACTTCGAGGACAGATGATCCAAGGGTCAGGTTTACAAAGCTGTTGAGGTGACTGAAAGGCAGATGCCTTGCAGAGTGGCTGACACCTAACCTTCACAGGTGCTTCTAACCTAGTGGAGAGTGATAGAACGAGGGGAAATGGATCCAAATTGCACTACGGGAGGTTCAGGTTAGATATTAGGAAGAATTTCTATACTGAAAGGGTTGTCAGCCATTGGAACAGGCTGCCCAGGGAGATGGTTGAGTCACCATTCCTGGAGGTGTTTAAGAGACGGGTGGATGTTGCACTGAGGGGCCTTGTTTAGCAGGTTGATAGGGCTGGGACCAATGCTGGACTCCATGATCTTGAGTCTTCCAGCTGAAACTGTTCTATGACTCCATGATTCTATGATTCTATGATTCTATGATTCTCTAAGTCTGGCAGAGGTCCACTCAACAGCTGAACATTGTGATTCGTGTAAATCTGACTTTGCCCTGTACTTGTTCCCGTGAGTCACCACTGCAGGGCAGTCATTATTTAAACTGCCATCTGACCAAAGGTCCCAGGTAAATGACATTTTGCCACCGTCGCACAGGGCAGCACAAGTCCCCATCGTATTGCAGTGCTCATTGTGAGAGCTCAAGGTTTTGCCTTTCCCCTCCCATCGGTTACGACTGTCGGAGGAGAACCGTGACTCAGCTAGCGGGGGCCGGTGTTGGTGACGTGGCATAGAGGAAAAGGGATGCAAACCGCAGGGAGAGATGTGTGATGGTGGTGAGCTGACTGTCAGGATTTCAAGCCTGGGTGCTCGTATGGGAAGAAGCTGGTTTGGCAGCAGACCCAGAGCTCGCACGCAGGGGGCTGCAGCTGTCGGAGCAGCAGCGTGCTCACTGTGTTGGTGCGACTAATAGCTGCTCTGAGGACTTGCCTACATGGGAAAATTTACCAGAATAATTATCCCTCTGTAATTATCCCAGGATAACTCTCCCTGTGGATATGCTTATTATAACAGAGGGGATATATGAATATATGGCAAATCTTCTGCATAGATGGATTTTTAACTTACACAGAAGAGTATTTGCGCTGCAGCCTAGCAGCAAAGCACAGTTTTTATCCTACTCCCCAGCAAACGTTACACCCAGAATTTTCTATGCCAGAGGTACTTTTAGGGGCAAGTACATGTCATTTCATCGGATCAGCATGGATGAAAAGCCCTCTTGCCCTGTAGCATGAAGCACATCATTTGTTTTTACAGAATCACTATGGGAGCCAGGATAAAGATTGGGACACTGCCTCACACCTCTGTGCTCCCGTTCAACTGTTTTGTAATACTCTGGTCGTTTGACCTTTCCATTCAAGCTATTGTGACTGAAGTTGTGAGAAATGTTTGGATTGCTGAAAGATCCTCAAACATGTTGTGATTTTAACTTTCTTTACCAGGCTTTCAAGACAGATTCTGTTGCCAAACGTTGTCATGCCTGTTGCTTGAGTGCTTAGTTCATTCTTCTCTGATGACTACTTGGGATTTTAGCTTCTCCACTGTGATAGAAGGAAAATGGCTGGGGAAATGATGAGCATTGGGCTTGTTTCTACTATACGTGGTAGCAGATAAAATCTACTGGGAGTAAGCTAATCTGGATAAGAGGATGAAGACGGGTGCACTTCCAGAAACCTACTCAGCATTCATCCATCACTACTGCTGTCATTCTGCATGAAGGAGGAGCAGAAGCGTCCATCATTAGGGATCACTTGGATGGGCCAAATTTACTGACAGCACCCCTAAAAGAGATAATTTTGATGTTTGGGCCCAAGCCAATTCTGAAGGAAGGGAAAAAACAATCCAGACAGTAAATGACGTCTCTAAATTGGCTTTTAATTTTCAATAGTTTGAAATAACAACAGTCACGTGATAATAGGCTGAAGTGATTTGATATTAAAAAAAAAAAGCAGCAACACTTGCAAACAAGCTTTGGAGTTGAAATTATTCAGCTCGGTGTATGGTGAAGTTCAGATCTGAGGCATCAGTGTGAAGCTATTATTAGAAGGTCTGGAGAAAAAGAACTGCAAGTGATTGTATTCCCTGGAACATGCCTGCACCGAACCTCCATTTCTAAGCAGCCTGCTTGCTCTTTTGTCAGGTGCAGAAATTACATCTGAGGGACAGCTCATGTGCTTTTTCCCCCCTCCAGTCTCAGCAGCAACAAACAGTTCCAGAAATCCCATAAAAGGGTCTGTTTTGCGCAATGCGATTTCCGGAACGCTAACTGGTAGTTGTTTTCCAGTCTCTGAGATAGAGTTATTTTAGGATTATTGCCTGTGTGAAACTGTACCATGTTCACAAGAGTCCTTTCTCTTGTTTTCCAGTTTGCTGGAAAATCCTGGCCTTGCAGTAAGGCAGCTGACTTTCGTTTCCAGAGTGACTGCAAAACTTGGAAATGGCCTCTGTGTCAGGTTAGTCCAAATTACAACTCTGTGCTAGCAACACTCCAGTTAACCCTGTTTTTAACTTAACTTTCTTGCTTTGCCAATATCCAGCCAGACTTCTCTTGCTATCTTCCACCTATTTTTAAAAAAAAAAAACACATAAAAATACAAAGAACATAAAGGATACATACTGCTCTTTGGTGTTCCAGCTCACAGTCATCGTGTGCGAAATGACGACAAGCGTTTGTCTGTATGGCTGTCCATCTACAGTGTTTCTTGTCCTATTTTTTTCAGGGTCTTCAGTGAGTCGAAGCATACCAGTTGAAGTGGATGAATCCATGCCATGGTCCCCATTTCCTGAACATGTCTTAGAAAAGGCTTTGCAGCTTTCTGGAGAGGATATGGAGGATGAGGAGTCCCAGAGACCACGTGTCCCTCGAACACCTCAGCCTGTGGCCAATCTGTCATGCCTCTGCAGAACACCAGCACATCATCAGTTACAATCCATGGAGCCAGACAGCAGCTTGTGGTCCAAATACACGGATCCTGATGGAGATGGATGCTCCTCTTCCCCCAATGAATCAATAGCTGGAGTAGTTCCCTCCAAGATGCATCTTGTAGCTATGGACAAACCAGGCATGTGGCCAAGATCACGGCTTTCAGCTGACACTGAGCACAACTCTAGTAAATCAGAGCAGAGCTTGTCTGACACTCCTGAGGGCTCGCTGGAGGAGAGCAGACAAGGGAGGTCACAGTCACTGCAACGCTTGGGAAACAGACCCCCATCAGAGCTGGGGACCATGGACACAGGGTGCAACTCCCAGTCACGAGATGTCATGGGCATCAGGCACCTGGAGCCCCCCTTACCACTGGTGTCTGTGGTGAACTCCCAGGATCTCCCAGGACCACTGATTTCCAGAGAGTTTTTCAGACCTGAGCAGCAGCAGTGCCCCGTGTGCCAGCACTTGCCCCATCCCAACGCCCCCTCGCAAGCCCACGGCTGCTTCGAGCACCGCAGCCCCGCAGAGCAGCACCCCCAGGGCCCATGTGAGTAACACTGCTCACCCCACGGGAGGTTTTCCAGGTGTACCAGAGCCATCCGTCACCAAGCTGGTGTTTTCCTACTGCGCTTAATAGCAATGCATGGCATGCAATTATCAACATCTTTAAATATCTATTTGCAGTCCATTTCATATTTCTAGATTTTCAGGTTACACAGCCAGACTCTCTGATGCAGAACCCCCGAGCCAGATAAAAAGTTAGAGAGGCTCACAGTTACTCATCAAATGAAGGCCAATGATTTTGCCTAGAGACCGGCCTGTGTCAGTCACACTGAGCATTCACAGCTTTCTCCCTGCTGTTATTTCATATTCTAGTCATTTCCTTCCTCCTTGCATCAGTCATTCAGCAGCCTCCTATACTGACTTAATTCCTGTTGCTTTCATAATTTCCTTGCTTCCCAAAGTTGAGAATTTCCTGCCAGAATCAGGACGCGAGGTTACCCTTGTTCTCTGTAAATAGTATCTCCCAGTATTATGACCAAATTGACCCATGTGTTTTATTTCTATGTGAAAAGAGCATGACATCTATCATCCTCATTTTTTTCTGTTGTCAGCTGAAATGAAAGCTCGTTACTTAAGATGGAGCCCTCTCAGCTGCTGGTGATTGTATCACTGAACGCTGATGTGACTCCATCAATATGGGTGTTTTGGCTCTTGGAGACTACAATGCAGTTTACAGCCTGCTGTTAATTAGTATTCCTTTTAAATCTCTGAGATTTTTATCTGTTATGAAGTGAGCTTTGAACATTCAACAGCAATATCATTGTTTTAATACAATTTATATTACATTAGACTCATGAGACCCAATCCCATTTTAGGCTGGCTTTATAATAAAAAGCTGTAGGCCTATATTGATAACCCTCGCCCTTTTTTCTCTTTTTAACCTTCTGTTGACTACACAGCATTTTATATTACATGTGTTTGAGGAGTTTTGTCATTCCAGCAATGCGCTATAATTAGGTATATGAAAAAGAGAGAGTATCAGAGCCTCAGTTTTCACCTCTGATCTTGGGACTTTGGAAAGGGGAGAGGTCTGCAGACGGACTTTCTTCCATGTTGAGAGCTGAACATTTGCAAAACAACCTCTGGTTTTCTTTTCATACTTTATCCTTTCAATTCAGCTTAAGCAGACAAAGAGCTGGTTGCACAACACCCCTTACTATTTACCTCCGTTTACCTCCTCCACACATGGGCATCGTGAGAAGTAGGACATTTAGTGAATGAGGCCATTTTTGTTTTAAAGCAGGAACTCTGAAAGGCTCTTTTTAGAAAAAAGAAACTACTGTTTCAACCACATCCAGAGGGCAAAAAGAATAGAGTAAACTCAGATGGCTGGAGCAGATTTGGTCAAGACCAAGAAGCTGGCAACTGTTCTCCTGGTTCTCACATGCCCGGTACACTGTAAATCACCTCCCGACAGCTCCTTGTGTTTCAGATAATTGTTGGGCAGTGGCAGCCCACAACAAAGCTCTGCAGTTTGTGTGTTGCAACGTGCCTCTCCCAGGGAATAGCAGTTGTGCCTGTAAGGTCTAAGCTGGCTCCAGACACCTGCTAGTTGAGATACAACAGCAAAACTGCTTCTGAGGTCAAAGAAATCCTCACAGCAATGCTATGTGCCCAGGGACCATTATTTCAGATATTTATATATGAGTGCTGTTGGGGTGTGCACACCTGGCTGTGCTGTGCATCTGAACGGCAGTGGCTGCATCCATTAAAATACTGTAGTGTCAGGCAGATCTAAAGGAAGCTGGTGAAACACTGGCCTAAAAACCTATACACCAAACTGAATCTCCCAGAGCCCTGCCACCTTCCCTAAAGCCGGTCTTGAGGAACCCATGAGAAGACTATACTTTCTCCCAGCCTCTTTTGCCCTGTCCTGTTGCAAATAGTTAAGAGGGGCAGCAGGAAAATCTTCTAAAACCATCTCAACAAATGTTGCCCTCTCACAGTTTCATCAGAAATCTCTTTGCAATTGTGGGGTTGGTTGTTGTTTTTTAAAGTATTTGCTCATGGAATTGGACTATTTCATCAGAGCTTTGTTTTCTTTCTTTTTCTCCCCCTCCTTTTAAAAAAAAATAGGAAAATTGGTCCTCATGGCTGCTAGGAAAAGGAAAGCATGACCCCAAAATAGCTAAAAGGATTTAAAAAAACAGTTGTGGGGGCGGGAGAGTGTTTGAGTGCAGCAGCTTTCAGAACCAGCTCATAACACCATAATCATGTAGCGCTAATAAGCCCTGCCAGGCTGGACTTTGATCTGCGCACAGCAGCTTGGAAGTGTGCAGAGCTGCTGCCTAATGAAAACTGCAAAACAGAAAGGCTGAATTAAAAAAAAAAAAGAAAAAAAGTAGTTTTCCCCATTTGGGAAACAAACAGCTTACATTGCTTTGTTTTTCAGTTTATGCCAACAGTTCCACCGTACATTAGTTATTAAACAGCATTATGTGTGCGTGAGCAATACCGGTAAGGTTTTGCAGAATTACTTGAGCAAAATTGCCACTTTGGGCTTTCCTTGCAGCCTCCTGGATGGCAACAGGAGCAGCAGCAAGGCCTTAAAAGGTCGCTTAGGCAGAAAATTCATACAGGGTGAAGTAACAAACCAAGAGATTATTTTTTCTCTTTTCATTTACAATAATCACAGTCTGTTTAGCCTTAGTATTGCAAACTGATTTGTTCCAGGATTTTGCATCTGCTTTCATGAGAACATTGGGATGATTCATTTTTGCTAGTTATTGCCAAAAAGAAATTAAAAAGGAAACAACAACACAACAACCAAAAAACACTGAGGCATGGCAAGTGCAGGGACAAAGCAGCCGTGAATGTTTAACTGTCAGTTGTCCCAACAGCCCGAGTCGGGATGGGGATCTGAGCCGTGCCACATGTGAACTCGCAATAGGAAACTTCAGACTGTAAAACATTCCTTCATCTGGCTTCTTTCAGATCAAGATGCCCACAAATGCCTCCAAAGTGCTCAGTTTTCTGAGACATGAAGGAGGACGTGCCTGGAAAGGAATAAAGACAGAGGCAAAAATGTATTGGCTGAAATGATAGTTGCTGCCCTTATTTTCTCACCCTCCCAGATGGCAGAGCTCCTTACCAACATTTTGCACACACATCGCAACCGCTTCCTCCTGTTCCTGGACCTTGCATGAGAGTTATCCGCCCGGCCCAACAAGTCATCCCAAATTATTCAAACCTTCGTGGTCCCAAGGGCACCAGAGATCGACTGCCCCAGGGGCTGTGCTCCTCCCCTGGTCCTCCTCGATTCCCGTAAGTACTTCTCAGGGGGGGGGTGTTGTGTGCGGTGGAAGCTCTTCTGATCTGCTTTTGTGGGCTTTCAATTAATAATCCCGAAGCCTTGTGATGTTAGCATGCCTGGGCTGCAGGGGTACATGCGAGATGCTGCGTAGTTTTCTTTATTTGCTATTTTACACCCAACAGGAGCCTGACCTTACCCTAGAGAACTTCAAAGCCAGATACCTGATATGTCGTTACAGCGCACCCTGAAATGCATGTGTTAAGGAAGATAAACACTTGAAGGTTAAAGCGGTGAGGGGTTGAAAAATATCTCTGTTGAAACCTTAGAGATCTCCTGCTCAAGAGCAAAGGTCAATTCAGCAGCTCGCTGCAGTCTTCAGCTTTACGCTGGACCAGCCTGGGATACCTCAGTCATTGGCTTCCAGTGATTTCCTTATCTCTTCTGTAGTGCAGAGAAAAAGGGAGAAAATCTTATCCATCACTGATATAACCCTACATTGCAGTTTGCAGCCTTTTTTATGATTTTTCATGTAATGACAGAATACCACATGTCTAGCACTTTTCCTCTAGGGCTTTTTGACTGGTAAATATTAATTTACCAGGCTTTCTATCTCCCTCCTTCTACGTATGTCATTAACAGATGAGAAATACTGTCCATGCAAGGTTTTCTCGAGACTCAGCCACATGAAGACAAATTGAAGCTTCAGGTATTGAGGACATCTGCAATCAGACCATTTTTATTCAAGTGCCACAATACTTTTGGAGGTGCTAAACTTACAAGCATCTGTGTTTGAAAACGTCCATTCACATGACATGGTCGTGGCAGAAAGCTGGGATAAGAGGCAGGACAAAAGAGGGATGACTGAAATACCACACTGCTCTGGCCTGTGAAAGATTAGGGGCTGTGGCAGAAAAGTGACAGTAAGATAAGGCAGTGCCTGCAGCAGAGATAATTGCACTGAAGAGTTTGTACAGAAATATAAAAATACTGAGGAGTAGTGGGTATCCTTTGCAGTAGTAAAATTTAAATACAGACTCCTAATTTTTGTCGCATTTGTTAGATAAGGTGAAGTTTGGTGAAGATCTGTAAATTAGCCTGTAAATTAAGCTAGGGTTTTTTTGTAATCTTTGATAAGGTATGTGCTGCTTTTCTTGATACTTTCTTCTACTGAAAGAAATCCAGAATATGCAGAGTCTGTCCTGTGGCTGCGGGGCTGGTGTTTGCCTGCTGATTCCAGGAACGGCAGTTATATGTTGGTAATATTTGCCTATAGATTATTTTGTAACAGAAAACATCTGTACCAAAATGAATAAACCAAATCTTAATGTGACAACAGAAAACATGCTGTGACCAGCCTGTCATCATTCATTTAAGGAAAGCAAAGAAGAAAAAAAGAGTGGGCTTGATTGACTAAACATCACTGCTCGGTGAGGAAAAGCTCCCAGAGCAACCCAACACTCGTCCAACAGATTCAACCCAGCAGATTCAAAGCACACCTCATGTAAAAAAATCTCTTTAGATTCCCCTTCCTGTTGACCTAAATTGTGAAGCCAAAGTGTAGTAGGACAAGAACTGTTAAGCTTCTCAAAATCATCCTTTTCTCTGTTTTGTTACAACAAAGAAGACATTAGGCAAGGTTATTGCAGGCCTGGAGCACAGATCGCTGACGTGAGAACTCCTTGTTGAGTGTGTTGTTGCTGGTCAAGAAATTGTGTTCCCTTGAGCAAAATTTTTGAGTTCTGTCCAAAACTAGAGACTCTCCAAGCTGTCTCAGAGCTGAAGTTCACTTGTACGTCCATTTTTCCCAAACCCCACCTTGTGCTGTACCTCCTGTGCTGCACAGGACATCCTGAGAGCACCTGAGGTGCCATGAAGAGCCCTTCAGATAGTGGGAAGAGGTTACCCAAGTGCCACCCTGCTCCGAAATGTGCGTAACAACATCATCGACACAGCATTGTTTTGCGCTTAGAAATGGCCTTTACTTCTGTTAAGTGCAAACTGAACAGCTTTCAGCTATGAGGTGCATTTACTTCCTGTGGCTAATGTTGCTTCTCCAGTAAACTGCTTCTTGTGGTAGACTATCACCAAGGTATCCGTTCAAAACATGCTGCAATAACTAGAAATGCCGAGCCAAGCATTTCTTTTCCTAGCTAATATGCAAATAAAATTCTTAGCAAAAAACAAACAAACTGAATTTTGCCTGAAAAGACATACTTTTTAAATCTTCCCTTGCTCTTCTTTTTTAGAAACCAGCTATACAACCAGCTACCTAATGGTCAGCTGCCCCCCAAAGCATGTGGGCCGGATGAAGCATGCTGTTGTCCTTCTGACAATTTTCCATCTCCAGCTGCCGTCCCGAGACCTCTCAGTAACCCTGCAGCCAAGGGAACTCTGAGAACCAGCAATTTGCCAGAGGAGTTGCGTAAGTGGTTAGCAGATTTGTTCTGTGCAAGATTTTACAGCGCAGCCTGACAGCTTTAGGTGGGAAAGCTCCAGGGGGCAGAAGGCAGGGGAAACAACATTAAGACACGAAGATAAGAAGGAAAGAAAATACTGAGTGTCACCACATCTGTAGGGTATGAGCATTTGTGTTTGGCAGGATGGAATTATCCCCTTGAATCCTAAAAACATAATTGTCATTAATTGCTTGTTATTTTGTTTACAAAAAATAAATGCCATTTAGATTGCTTTCATGACTTCTTGCTAAACAGGATGTCCCTTTGAGGTGGGAGGCACTGAAGCTTACAGTAAAAGACCAATAACAAACAAAGCCCTAGGGATAAAGCTCTTCTGCCTGTCCCAAACCAGACAAATATGTTGAGTCTCGACCTCAGTTTCTCCCTGACCTGGTGAGGGGGGAGGACTTTGGGCCAGCAGCCCACACCAAGGGCTGAGGGCAGCACAGGTGCTGGCTGAGGTGCTTCCCCTGCTGCCAGCCCCTGAAGCATTTTCACCCTTCAATTCTTAGGGGAAATTCAGGTTTCAGAAAACTGACTTCCTTCTTGATGCTATGCTGGCTAGCAGGTGAGATATACTGTTGCTAAGAACCCTCCACATCTCTGCTGAAGTTTTCATTTTTCCTTTATTCTTCATTTTGTGCATCACCTTTCAGATCCAGACAGTTACATTTCTCTTGCCTGTGGGAGTGATGACACTGGATACCACTCTTGGGTAGACTCTACTGTCCTGGTTTGAGTCATTTTACTTTTCAGCTAAGTTTCTTCTAAGAGACTGCACTTTCTGAAGTCAGCAGCATGTTTTTGCAGACAGAGTCTGCTACTAGCAGTGATAACACCTGATGTTTACAGTTACTGCCAAAGACTGGTATGCAGAAGGGCTCTTGCTTACACTTGCTCCTGTAGTAACCAAGGTTACTGATGAATCTTGTGTACCACGTTGAGGTGCAGGGAAGTAAAAGTGTCATAAGGAAGTGAAAAGATGGCACCTCCAGGGAGGAATGGACAGAATGAGTGATCTAAAGCAGACCAACAAAGTATTCCATTGCATTCCATATACATCATATTCACTATAAATCTGAGGGATCATGGGGGTTAAACCCTTTCCTTCAATGGCTGGCATCCAAGGAGGATTCTGTCCATTCTTCTGCCTTTGATCTGATCCTGAGTTCCCAAATATAGCTCCTCTGTCTGGTTCCCCTCTGCTGCTGAGCCTGGGGCTTCCCTGGTGCTGCCTGCTCTGCAGCATCAGTGGGGATTGCTACTGGGTGGGGAGTTGGCTTCAATATCAGTTTTGTATATATTTATATGTATTTTATTGTTTTCATTATTTTCTGATTAGTGCTATAATTGTTTTATTAAAGCTGGTTTGGTTGTTTTTTTTTTTCCAATCCATGTCTCTGCCTCATTCCCTTTCCCCTCCCTTTTGAGGAGGGAGAGGGGTTAGAGAGCATCTGTCATTCATTTAGTGGCCAGCCCAGCCCTAACCCTTGACACCTACTTTATCAGTCAGTGTGTCCTAGATCCAGGCATTACTGGATAAAATTGTGTCATTTGTGATAGCACACACAGCTGGATTAGATTAGCCAGCTGGTTCAACCCTGACCTGCAAGCCCATGATTCTTTACTTAGTAAGAAAACTCCCTCCATGTCGGCTAGGACAGCTGGAGACATCGCTGTCACCAGCCATCCATCCTGCCTGTACGGGGTGTTAATTCTGCGGTCAGGCAAGGCAGCACAGCATCCATGAGGGCTCATCAGGATCTCAGCCGGACTAGTGAGGTCTAGGGGCAAGCTGTGCTGGTTGCAGTTGGTGCAGGTGGCATGAGCCCAGGGTGGGCGCCCAACCTCACCTGTGCCAAAAGGGCTGGGGAATAAGCAGCTCTGGCAGCAGGGCAGGGTGAGCGGCAGAGTGGGGTTTCCCTCCACAGCTTCCACAGGAGCTCTTGCCAGTGGTCGGGCAGTAGGAGCTTAAATCTGGAGCAAGGTTTCTCTGCAGGGAGTTGAGTTCCACGCCAAGCCACTGCGCTATCCCGTGTCCATTTCTGTAAATAATCCAAAGAGACGCAAGTGGGCAGAACCCGCAGCGCAGTGGAAAAGGAGGGCTGTGAAATTCTCACTCTCCAAATGATGTATTTTAGTGCCTTGCGTGTTCACATGGACTCTCTCTCCTAGGCAAAGTCTTTATAACCTATTCGGTGGACACAGCGGTGGAGGTGATGAAATTTGTGAACTTCCTGCTCGTAAATGGATTTCAAACTGCTGTAAGTATTCCTTCCGAAGTAAATTACTTTCAAGCAAGGGAGAGAAGAGACTTTTTTTAAAAAGAGCAGAAGCGATGCACTGTCCATTTAAATGTTTCTGTTTATCATTGCATTTTGCAGGTTAAAGAAGATACAAATAGAATGAACTAGCCTGGGCTTTAAAAGTTGTAACCTAAATGATTAGCCTTTTAATTTGTTCATATTGTAACTGATTTTTTTCTTTGAAATGTGTTTTAAAATTGACCCTGGAAAATTTCATTTTGTGGCACCAGATACCACATGCGCGATAGTACAAGGTTTTGCGATCTATTCCATTAACATTGTCTCATATTTAATCTGTAATATCAATATTAGAAAGGTCAATTTTCATGTTCATCCCATCCCAGCATTTTTTCTGTTATTTTATTGCATCACTGGTTCTTCAGATGTGAATACCGTTCTGCTAAAAAATTATCTAAAAATCTGTGTATTTGATACTGCATAATGAAACAGCCCATCTCACAGTTTCATTTGCTTTGTTATATTTTTAAGAGAGATTCTAAAAGCACTGGCCTGAAAAGGCCTGTGTTCCACTGTCTAATCCCATAAACCATCCAGATTTTCGTGTAACTTTTCATGAGATTATTTCATCATAACGTCCTTGTCTAAGGGAAACATTCACAGAGGCTCTAGGATTCACTGTTCATCAAAATCTTGGTTCGTATTTTCTTATTTCAACTACATATGTTAGCTGACCCCTCAACCTTCACCTTTTGGCTTCGAATCAGGAAAGCATTTAGGCAAGTGGCTGTCATTAAACTGAATGAGACTCAGCGGGGGGCTTTGCACACACTTATTTATTTTCATGAATCAAAGATTTTTTTCCAGAGATTGCGGTTATACCTCTCTCCAACAGTTCTGTGCTATGACCGATTCATAAGAAAGCTTTGAGCACTGCAAAGATGTGTAGCAGAAGGCTCATTAGTAGCACCTTTGTGGACAGCCAATTTTCGGAGCCTACTGCAGAATAATAAAAATCAAAAAAGGCCCCAAAGCAGGGAAACAAACATACTCTCTACTTTCAAAGAGGGAAAAAGCAAGACTTGAGGGCAGACCACAACTCTTCTATCAAAAGCTTGGAGAAGTTAATACTTACTCAATTGGTCGCAGTCACTGACTGACAGTTTCTGGGCTTACTGAACGTGAAGGGAAGTGAGCAGTGTTGGTCATGATCAGTCCTAAAAAGTCCTCCACCTCTCTGCTGTTGCTGAAATCTGAGTTACTGCAGCCAGTATCACCGACCTGGCTGACTTCCTGAAAATTTAGTCCAATGTGAAGATAAAACTTGACATTTAGTATATAGCCTTGCAGCCACAAAATAGTGGACATTTGCAGCTATGCAGATAGAGAAGAGTGGGCAGCCAGCCACCTTCATGAGATGTTTTGAGAGGCAAAAAAAAATCCCATTTTTTGAACTTTGCATGCCTAGTGTTCACTGGCAGCAGTTGTTTCTTGTTCCACTAAGCAAAAAACGCCTGGGAATTGGGAGCTGGCAGGGCAGCATGGCCAGGTGAACAGCCAGCTGAGCAGGAGCCTAGCAGTGTGCCTCCAGCAGCCCCTCCTCCACCTGCCTGGGGTGCCTGTCGAGTTCGACTCTGGACTGCAAAGAAAGGGGAAAAGTTGTGCATGCATGTGTTTGTGTTTTTTTTTCCTGAGTGAATTAGGCACACATGTTAGAAACAAGGGAAAAGAGCAGGTGCCTTTTCAGTGCTACCAAATGGAGAGGAGAGGTGAAAGGAGGCTCACCACAGACTTCTATTCTCTTGCAGATTGATATATTTGAGGACACGGTACGAGGTATTGACATCATTAAGTGGATGGAGCGCTACCTAGGTGATGTATGTAAAGGCAATTTAACCTTGTTCGTGGCAGAGGTGACCTGAGGAAAATGGCTGAATTATTCCAACAGCAACAGAATCAAAATGCAAGACCCTATGATCTTCCCTGCCCTTGCAGAAATGGCAGAGGCCTTGCAGAAAGAGCATAGGCAAATCTCACTCACTTCCATATCCTATGGTACCAAAGCTCTTTCTTAAAGAAAATTAAGTGCTAATCCTGGTATTCCTGCCAAATTTCAGTGCCGGCTGTTACATTCAGCCTGAAGTTGCCATTGGATAAGTTGTTCCTCCATCTTATTTTTAAATAGTGAATTTCAGCTACGCTTGGTTAAAGTGCTATCTGTAGTTCATCGTGGGCTGTATAGTTGTGACTAACATTCATCCAGCTTCTCACCTGTAGCTTTGAAATTCCTATCTGAAACACTGAAAAGTTCTTCTGGACAAACCATCCCATAAGTAAACTGGAAATTGGCATTCTGTTAGTTGAGTGATAGAGTTGTTCTCATCACTTTATATCTATCTAAAGGATAAAACAGAGATTTGTGTTGCTGCCAGCGCAGTCCCTCACAGTGACAACTTCCTCTGAAGTTCCTGAGCTGAGCAGTGAGTGCACATCTCCTTTATGATCAAGCTAAATGGTCCCATTGTACTAGAACAGGTGGACACAAACTGGCAATTCTGTCACCTGACAAATGACATCATGGAGTGTCTTCCCTTGATTCATGCCTTGCTGGGTAGCCACTGGGCCTCTGACTCACTCTAGGCAGGTCTCCATGGTTTGGGAACAGGATGACAAAGCGACAGAGGATTCCACCTTTGCAAGAAAACTCAACCGTCTGAGAGAGCACTGCACAGGTTTCCTAAAAGTGTCCAGCAGGACATCTTTGCTCAAGTGTGCTACCAGGCAGGCATGGTACTACTGCATGGCAGGCCACCATGGGGCCTCTGCTGCAGCAGTGCAGTCCTGCCTTCTGGGGCTTCCATCAGGACAAATTAGGCTTGGGCTCTCTGTGTGTGTAATAAAGGTACTGAAACTAGAAGCCAGGGTGTATTTGCTTTTTGCAAGAACTTAAAATACAGACTGGCAGATCTCTTTTGGGACTCCTGCATGGTCAGTAGAAGAGACTGGTATGGGCAGAGATCAATTCCCTGTCTCCACATGAGGATCCTTCTCTGCCTGCCCCAGAAATGTGGGCTTTTTTTCCTTCACTGACTGTAAGGGAAGTTTCTGCCTTCAAAACCCTTACACATGCGAGGAAGAAGGGACTGCTCGGACACGAGCAGGGGGAGGTGTGCAGTGGGGTATGTCTTGGCAAACGCTCAACATCTGTAAGTGCTTACATGCATGTCAGGCACAAGCTAAAGTAATTCTGGAGTATGTTAAGTCGGTGTAAGGGATAATGGCTCCTTACCATATTTGACCCTGTGGTGGGGCAAATTCCCTTGATATTGCACAGAAGGAAAGAGTTAATTAGGTGCCAGGCTGACTATGAGCCACAGACTTGGAAGCCTTACACGGCATGATGTGATGGGGATGAAAGACAGGCCCTAGGTAAACACAAGTAGGAGGCTTTCATCTGTTGAGCCTCTTCACTGGCCCACCATTAAGGAGGGGAGACGTTTCCCAGATATGAAGGATGACCCCTATGTGGAAACATGAGCTCAGTGGGGGCCTGGGATTAAGCAGGTCACAGGCAGGATCCGAGCTGTTGTGGCAAGGTGAGGAGCCTTGCCTTCAGCCCACTGCAGCAAGGTGAGACGGAGCTGCGAGGTACCCCTAAATCGGGCCAGGCCATCCACAACAGCCCACCCCTCTGCAATGCCACCCCTCCGCACACTTCACCACTGAAATCAGCAAGAAAATGTGTCATTTCTGTTGCAGAGAGCCCTAGATGTAGCTTCCATAGACCACTGCCTTCAGTGTCTTTATGTAGAAAAAGCTACAAATGGTTAAATAGATGCACTTTTACATAAGCTGTTGGAAAACATTTGGGTCTGAATTTGAAGATAAAACTTTTCTGTGTACATAGCCACCCTACACTGATAAAAAGTAGCTTTTTATTACAGGGATTCCAACTGTAAACTGGTAGCTGCTAATACATCTCTTGACATTTAGGTTTTCTATATTATGAGATCTCGAGAAATAATGAGGAGAATGAGTGTATGTGTTCCCCTGTATTTCCTGCCAGAATGAATGAGATCCTCTTGTGTTTGCCAAGAACATAAAGATCACTTAAAACACAAACTGGCAGATTTCCGATCTGCCTCTACCAAACATGCTGCGTTTCCCAATTTCATAAAAGTGCTTTTCTCCCTAACAGAAGACAGTGATGATAATCATAGCAATCAGTCCAAAATACAAACAGGATGTGGAAGGGGCTGAATCCCAGCTGGACAGGGATGAACACGGCTTACATACTAAATACATCCACAGGATGGTAAGCAAGGACATGCATTTGCTATTTTACAAAGACTCTGTCTCTTCTTCTCAAACGACAAATCTGTCTCCAAATGGCAGGTTCTTTGCTTTGTTTTCCCTAATCCCCATAGTTAAACACCCCCCTTTGGAATTCATTAATCCTCTCTCTCATCAGCTCCGTATGCTCATTAACATCTGCTAAGAGGTTCAAGGAAGAAAAATCCTATTAAACATGCTCATCTTATTTCTCCATATTCTTTATTGTTCGATTTTTTTTCCCTTCCTTCACCTTCTTGATCTCTTGTTGCTCTGTCCTATAGACCTGAGCACAATTTTACTGAACAGTGCCTGACCTCCCACCCTATAAACCAGCCTCTGTTGCTTCAGCCATCCCATAACCGAGGTCTTTTTTCAGGCAGCAGTAAAGCTGACTGAAAGGTGGAATTGCAAAGCCAAGGCCAGAGCTGCAAAGGGGTGGTCCTGTGTCACCGGGACCAGTGAGGGTGTCTGCATCCTGTCACAGGATGGACATTTAGCCCAGAAGAGCCCACGGAGACGTGAAACTCATCCTTGCTGCCTTTCTCACTCTATAACCCATATGATCCCCTGGTTTGATCCTGCAGTCAAACTTCTCTGAAGCTGTCACCAACAGATGAGGTCTCAGCAGTACTTTGCTGTCCTTACCACCCCCAGGATGCTGGTGTCTGGGACACGGGGAACAGGCTGGGTCCAAGCTTGGACACAGAGCTGGCCTCTGGCTGAAATCTTTCACCCTGTTGGACACTGAAGAGGGGCTTTGGTCAAGTCAAGCTTCAGTGGGTCTAGATTGATTTCATGGGATTGCAGCTGCAGCTAAACCCACAAATATTTCACACCACAGAACTAAATGCTTCAGAAATGTTGACAGATCTTTCCTGTATCCTTTCTGTAGTAATGAAGAATCAGATTAAGTGGCCAAACAAAACAATAGAGTCCACTAGCAATAGATCAAACCACTTAATGGAAGAGCAGTTTAAATGTTTTTATGCATTGGATTCAGATGCATGCGAATGAAAACTAATGTGTCGTTACAATAAATTTGTCAATTTGTTCTATTCCAGATGCAGATCGAGTTTATACAACAAGGGAGTATGAACTTCAGATTCATCCCTGTGCTTTTTCCCAATGCCAAAAAGGTAACATACATACATACATATATACTTGTCACATGATTAAGGACATATTATTTTGATCACAGTGAACCAGATGAAATCTTAAAACCAAAACCCTCAATTTACTAGTTCCTAATATCCCACTAGTAATATTCCAAAGCTACATTTTACATGAAAAGTTTATAGTTTTATGTACATGCAAATAAAAAACATTTCATCCGTGATATAAATCAGTACATAAATGTATTTCTGATGATGAATGTACAACTAAAACTCAAATTGTCTTGAGCACTAGAAGAATTTAAATGGAGAGAGGCAATCTATCCAGCAAGCATGTTTTTTATGTTAACCCTTTTATAATTTTGTCCAGATGTAATACCGATGAGTGAGATGGGAGAGATTTATGACCAATGTGAAGTGAGGATCTGGAAGAGGGTGGGTTGAGGATATAAAAATAAAGAGGATAATAAATATTAAAGTACCATTGCTTGAACTTTGATGGGCCCAAACTGCAAGGTTTTTTAGGACTTGCAATTTCATCTGCCCTCCTTACTGGTTTTGAAGATTCATTTGAGATTAAGTAAGTAATGCAGCAGATTCTCGTCTCTTCTTCCACACTCTGAAACAATCTCTTGGATTTTTACAAGGTCTGAAAAGTTAAACGGCTTCAGTTATAGTTGAGAAACTGCATTCTTCCCCAAACATAGAATGGATATATTGTATTTGTGTTGGCTTTTCATCTCTACATGCTGCATGCATTGTTGAGTAGATACAGCTGCATTTTGGAAAAGTACGGAAAGATTCCTTATGTATCTTTGGGTGCCCAAATTTTTTGGAACATGAGTCAAAGTTTAAACAATGTTGTCAATGACTGTAGGGCTGTCAAGTCCCACTGCACTTGTGAATCGTAGTGTAATTAAGCTCTTTATTTAGCCACTAATTTAATATAAGCTCAGAAATTTGAAAATATGTCCCTGGGTTTGTAAACTATGTGAGGTTGTTTGAGAATGACTGGTACCTGTGGTATTTCGTACCAATCAGCTCCCTTCCTGAGTGATCTGGTGCTTGCCTTAAGTGTTAAAAGCTGGAAGACAGCACTGGTAGGAATTGGGCAGACCAAAGAGCAGGGAACTGGTCAGCATTGCCAGTCAGTCTTTGCAGCTTGATCTGGGTGAAGAAAGGGCAGGACTGCTCCTCACCTCGGGGGGGTCCTTGAGTTCTGGCCACATGAGCAAATCATACAGCCTCCAGCCCACTGGACCTTAAGGTAAGTGGCCCAGCAGGCACTATAGATGCCTCTAGGCTTTGAGGCAGAACGGTAAACTTAGGCTAGTTTTGGCTGAGCTTTATGTATCAGGAGAATATTCAGCATATAGCAATTTTCTCAGATAGTGATCCATAAGAAATTTCCAGGGTTGGTTTATTCAGCTGCTCCTATCAAAGCATCAGGCTCCAGGCAGCCTTCCTGCCCATCCTCTGTAGTCCACATCACCCTTCATTTTTTCAAAAGGTGCTTTTCTCATCTAAATTATGCAGATCAGCATTTTCTGTCGCCATTAAGCTTAGATCTTTCTCCATGCAGTCCTTCAGTATATCATAGAATCATTAAGATACCTTCTACCTTCATCTAATTTGTTAACAATAATATAACTGAGGACATCATGGGTGGAAGGAGAGCACCAGAGCCTGAACAAGTTGCAGTAATGAAGTCTGTGGGCAGTCAGAGGAAGCGAGGTACCTGAAAAATGCCACATGCATGTTCAATTGGATGATGCTGATAGACAAGCTACTTTCGTTTTATCTTCTTTATACTATCTTCTACATGTTCAAGTACTACTGTAGCTAACAGTGGAAAAGAGCAGGAAAGCTGTCGTGGTTTGACCCTGGCCAGCAGCCAGCTACCCACACAGCCGCTCTCTCACTCCCCCTTCTCCACTCTACTGGGGGAGAAAATATTTCAAAGGGCTTAATGTTTGAGATAAGGACAGGGAGATCACTTTCATTTACCATCCCGGGCAAAACAGACTTGATTTTGGGGAAATTAATTATATCTATTAAGAGAGGAGTAGTGAGAAGTAAGAAAAAACAAATAGATCTTAAAAGCAGAACACCTTCCCCCCATCCCTCCCCTCTTCTCGGGCTCAACATCAATCCCGATTTCTCTACCTCCTCCCCACCGAGCAGCGCAGGGAGACAGGGAATGGGGGTTATGGTCAGTTCATCCGATGTTGGTTCCACCGCTTCTTCACTCCGGAGAAGGACTTTTCACTCTTCCCAGGGTCATTGTGGGGTCCCTCTCACGGGAGACAAGCTTCACGCTCTCTTCTCCGACGTGAGTCGTCCCACGAAGGGCAATTCATCACAAATGGCTCAACGTGAGACACCTCATGAGGGGCAATGCACCCCTCCTGAGTCTGAGGTGCAGTCCTTC